CTTAAAATATCATGCACCATACACCGTAGTGATAGGATTCAGCGTCGAAGATGCGTGACGTCAGGTACTGTGATCTTCAATCCGCCCACCGACTCAACTCCAGCAGTTGACTTTTATGGGAGGCTCGTGGTATTGCTAGTATAGGCGCAAAAAGTGACACTGCCCACACCCCATGTAACGCTTATGTTATAAATCGGAGGTAAGCTAGGATAAGTGCATATAGCCAATATTGGGGTTTTTGCACAAATGTTGGATTCGACCCGGATCTATTCTATTTTAGCCAAGACACTTATATGTACAAGGAAGTAAATTTCCTTTTTCATGGCAATTTTCATATTATGTGGTAGAGTCACGCTGCCGTTATATTATGGTTGTAGCACGAATGGGTCTCGCATCTGCGTTTTGATTCTTAATCGAGGATAAATGTAGATGTCTATGAGCAACAGCATCCACTTACCATCAGGTGGACTGTGCGCTCGTTTATCACCCTTATTCTATAAAAAAGTAACTCCGAATACCTTAAATTAAAATTGAATATGAGGAAACGAAGCGTAAAGCAAAATATTTAATTTAATAACAACGTTTTATCTTTGGCTTCCCTTTCCATTGTTATAATCACATTATACGACGTACCCCGTTGGTCGGAATGAAAGCAGAAAATCAGGTCTTCATTCCATTTCACAATTGTTATGCAGAGACTAGTGCGAGATTAGTTTTCCGCTGCTATAGCTTGTCACATGCTATTCTCTTTGACCTTTGTTAGTGGTTGGTATAATTTGAAAGCGATTTAAGAGATTGTTTTTATAACATTTTATAAGAGTGGAAAAGAAAGAAAGAAAGAAACATCTTTATTTGAATTTAAATATAATTGTGCCACATGAATATATATTACGCTAGCGATCCATCCTGGCTTCGTCCGTCATTTCTGGATCTCGACAACAGCGCCACCTACTGAGACTAAAAGTAAATTTAAATCACCTGTTCAAATTTACACAAAAATTTCATCAAAAACGGTCTAGCCATTTTTGAATTTTAGCGATACTAACAGACAATTGATTTTTATATATAGAGATTTTCCATAGAGATTCATCAAGGGGCTATATAGTAACTCAGCTCAAATTCTAATTTCGCCCCCCCCCCCTCCCCTTCCCCGCGCGTCATATGCTATGTACCGACACGTTTGTAATCAATAATACTGTAAGTAGATAGGTTAGATACTTATTTCATTGGGTTTATCATATTTATGCCTGTTTCTTTACGCCAACACTGTCGCTTCTTATTTTTATTACGTATATTTCCCATTTTAATTTTACGCCGTCCTGTTGCGTAATGTGTATTCTGATCGTAAGCGACACAGCCTTCCCGTTCGAAAGTCGAAGCGAGACTAAGTGCTGAGTGGGAGTATCGGGCGGCAAGGAACAAACTTCAGGATGCCGATAGTTTAGGTAATTTCTTTTTACAGTGAAAATAATGGTAATTAAAAAAAACATAAGCTCTGCTTTATAGTTAGTTCAGTTAGTACGCAAAGTTTCATGATCTAATTTAAAGTATTTTATGAACAACAGCGAGCCACCAGCAAATTAATCCTCAATTTTACCATATATTTATTTCAAAATTAATTGCTGTAATATTTTCAGCATAACAGAGGATCTTGCTAAGCCATTTGAGGTAGTATTTTTACTTTTTTTTATATAGAATAGGGTGACAAACGAGCACACAGTCCACCTGATGGTAAGTGGTTGCTGCGGCCCACAGACATCTACATCTATCCTCCATTAAAAGTCAAAATGCAGATGCGTTGTCACCCGTGAGGACTGAGATGGAATGCCTCGTTTCCAGTAAAAAGGGTCTCCGGTTCTCTACACTCACCATACGAAATACAGCAGCATTAAGCTACTATTTCACGCTGGTATTCTGTGAGAGCGTGGTCCTTCCCCGGTCGAGCCGACCCATTCGTGCTACAACTATACTACTAATATAACTGCAGCATGGCTCTACCACGTATAAATTACTATTTCTCCTTAATGCTCTCGATATATTTATTAATGTAATAGCAACTAATAGGCATCCGACTTAGCTTTGTACCGCAGTGTAACTGCAAAAAAATACGACCACCACCCTCTTCTAACTTAACACTTCTACTACCAAACATAAGTGCGTGCATTACTGTGTCCGGAAAATATTAATAACAAGTGTAGTTACAGGTTGTGAGGCATTTCTTGTCTGAAGTTGGTTGAAGATGTGCGCGTTTGAAATTACATTTCAATAAAAAAAGTAAAAACAGGCTAAAGGTTGCATTAAAATTTTAGAAACTAACCAATTTGATTGTATACTAAACCAAAGGTAGAATTTCAATACCTACAAATAACCTTTCGTGGCTTTGATCCTTTCTTTACATTGATCGCCAATTTGGTCGATAAACTTTCATCTAGAGCGTCCCTTGCTGACTGTATCGTTTTTTTGGTTTTCCTCCATCATTCTTTATACATGGCCTATTTTAAAAAAAATGTCATGATAAAAGCGGAAAACGACAATTCATCGATAGACACTCAAAAGGCAAAGAACTCCATTCAATGTAGTTGACGTGCTATTTTCAACGCGCCGCCTGATAAATGGTCCGTATCTGATCGCGTGTAGGTGCAGTAGAATGATTTACTACGATCCACTGTCGGAAATGTTACAAGATACGGAGTAAACGGAGATTAAATACTAAATTGTTAAGGAGTGGAATAAATATTTATAAGTAGTCCTTACCATTACTGTCTATTAAATTTAAATATACCTATAAATATAATAAACCATCTGCTGAACATTAGGCCTCCCCCATAGATTGCCTCATGGGGGAGATATATGCCATAGTTGTAAACCTTGGCAAGCGCGTTTTCAACTGCAGTTTTTTATTTTAGTCGGTATTAAAAAGACGCCGCTGCCCATCTCTTGCTTTGCTTCCTTCTGTCGCCTCTAATGGGGTGATATGGGCTAGTGGATATCCTACACCGTCACTACAAGGTCGACGTCAACTATATTGAATGGAGTTCTTTGCCTTTTGAGTGTCTATCGATGAATTGTCGTTTTCCGCTTTTATCATGACTTTTTTTTAAAATAGGCCATGTATAAAGAATGATGGAGGAAAACCAAAAAAAACGATACAGTCAGCAAGGGACGCTCTAGATGAAAGTTTATCGACCAAATTGGCGATCAATGTAAAGAAAGGATCAAAGCCACGAAAGGTTATTTGTAGGTATTGAAATTCTACCTTTGGTTTAGTATACAACCAAATTGGTTAGTTTCTAAAATTTTAATGCAACCTTTAGCTTGTTTTTACTTTTTTTATTGAAATGTAATTTCAAACGCGCACATCTTCTACCAACTTCAGACAAGAACTGCCTCACAACCTGTAACTACACTTGTTATTAATATTTTCCGGACACAGTAATGCACGCACTTATGTTTGGTGGTAGAAGTGTTAAGTTAGAAGAGGGTGGTGGTCGTATTTTTTAGCAGTTACACTGCGGCACAAAGCTAAGTCGGATGCCTATTAGTTGCTATTACATTAATAAATATATCGAGAGCATTAAGGAGAAATAGTAATTTATACGTGGTAGAGCCATGCTTAGCAGCAAAAAGACAGTTTATAACCAATATAACTCTGGTCAATTTTGACTACAGAGTTACTTAATGATCGTGAGGTCCCGAGTACAAATCCCGGGTTAGGGCAAAATCAATTATTGTTTTATCCTGTCCAAAAATTCTCGCTAGAATCCGGAGTCAACAAGTTGGCGATGTTTAACTCCTGTGCCACGGAAAGGTCCTGCATCTGATCGGATCTTTGTCGGATTTTCGTCCCGTCGGTCAATGAGAATGAGAGATCAGAGTGCAGCTGTATTTGCGTACGCAATCCTGTCCTGTGTAGATTGGGCGCCGTGACCAAAATTAGATCTTAAGGACATTCATTACTACACAAAAGTAAAGTTACAGCCTATATGCGTCCTACTCTTGGTCACAGTTCTCCTCTCATTCCTAAGAGGGGTTTAGGATAAGGGAGTGTCCACCTCGATGCCCTAATGCGTGTTGGCGGACTTCAGATGTCTTCGAAATACTTTTTTATTTAATACTCAAAAATGTCTACCCACCAAAAATCAGCATTTGACAGATGTTTGAGGTGTGACGATAGCGTAAAAGATTCCCATAACCTCATTAACTTCGTCTCGTAGGTGTCTTTGTGGTAGTCTTCGATAAGGACGGTGTACCATATTATATATGACTGATGTGAAATACTCAACTAAAAATCAGAATATACCGGAAGCAGCAAACATTCTGCTTCCCAAAAATATGTTCACAAACACATCGACACTTATTTGTCTTAGTGTGATGAATTGTAAGGCCCAAGGTGAGATGCAAGATGTAGCTTTTGACACACAAGGTCAATTGTGAAAATGTCGACACTGCCTAGGATTTAAGCCTAGGGTAGAATATCTTATATTTATATTATTTATGATGTCGTGTCTTATCATACATTAAATGAAAATTTTGTCATTACTAGCTGGTGGAGTATTACAAAACTGTTAATTTTGTTCTTATGGCAAAAATAAAATAAGTTAATTATTAAACGAAATAAAAGAAACACGACATTATGAATAACATTAAATCTATAAAAGCCACAATGGCACTTTTTTTTGTAGGCACATGTTTTTGGTTATTTCTATCTTCGTTTAGTAGTTACTAATCTACAACATGTGTAAAAATTATTAAAATCTATAGTAAGTAAACTATTGAATGTATTCATATAGCAAACCGCGCCATCGGTGGACCGGAGCGCGGCGCTGGTGGCCCGTGTTACTTTATAGTTTAAGGAGTGTATTTGATATTTTTGTGACGACAAAAAAAATCAATGAATAGTGAGAGAACTTACTAGTAATCGTATCATTTATTGTATGGGACCTTAAAGATAACTATATAGACAATTTAAAGATATTAATTGATAATTATTATTGTTTTACTTACTGTTGATGTGGATCAAAGCGAGCGTCAGGCGGAGATCGTGCACCAATTAGACACATCATGGAGTCAGGTGGAGCGAGAACTCGAAGCTGGAGCGCTGCTCTTGGATACCACCATCGTCTTTCTTCCACAGCAACTGCGACCTAAAGCCAGTACAAAAACTATGTAACTAATATAACTAACTATAATGAAAACTGTCTTAATAATACATGATGTTTATTCGACACTTACGTTTTCTTATACGTTCACCATCTAAACCGATTTAAAAAATATTTTTTAACTTAAAAAAATAGCCACGTAGTAGGTTATGTAGTCATGCTAAGGCATAGTGTATCGAATAATAAAGAGTAATTCGGAAGCTATTATATGGAATTTTAATTTTAATTTTGATATCAGTTCTATATATTATTAAATGTTTAATTATTTTATCTTTCAGGTTAAAACATAAATATCGTAAGGTACGTGAGAGTAATATGGTCACCTTTAGCTTTGCCGCCCTATAAAACCAAAACTAGAAGGACAGAGACAAAAACACAAATTCGTATAGCACAATTAATATATTAAGAAAAAAATAGCAAACAAGCTTTGGCAATAATTAACTAACTACTCTACAACATACTAAAATCGAATAAAATATTTACTATAATTATCAACTGTCAAAGCAGCGCCCTTTTCACCCTTTACCTATTATTTGATTGACCGTTAAAGAGCTATCTTATCACAAAGCCATCTATGCAACAAACAAGGCTGTAGTTTTTGAGTTATAAGAAAGTGACCATATCAACCGGATGACCATATTACTCTCACGTATATATATCACGTATATAATAGATACAATAAAATCTTCATTTCCTATTTTTCTCTCTTAGGGATGAATAGAAATCTCTTAGAGTAAATTTTAAGTAAAAACTTTAAATTTATGTGGGACTACACTAAAAGTATAATCTTTTTAATAAAAAAGGCGTCGTTTAAATTGGTTGAGCCGTTTCCGAGAAATCGGTGAACATAAATAAATAAATAAAAAAACGTACGCGTCAAATATAACCTTCTCGTTCTAAACAGGGTTGAAATTGAAATTTCTACTTTTCAAATAGAATATTTTTAACAAAAGTCACAACTAAAAGGTGACCTTTATAGCTAAAAGATGACCTTAATAATTGTGTAACAATCTCCAAGGTTAGAGCTTTGAAATGGCGACGTTTAGATCTTGTCAGTAGACGCGTAAAGAGAATCTTAATTGCTAGCCTGTATCGACGTCAAATTATTTTCTATTTAGTTCAATAAAACAGAAACAGAAACTTTTTTATTCTATATATTTTATAAATAATACTGATTAAAAGTCCCTCTTTTGTTTAATTATCACTGGTTCGGAAAAAACACCTCTGTCCTGGGAAGAACCAGTAAGAAGCCCAGCGGGATTTTTTTAAATAACAGCTTTTGTTACACAACTAATTAACACAAAACAAATTAGAAATAGATGGGCAGTGATCATCTCATTCCCAGGGGTTATAACCATTCATAAATTCATTCGTTTAATTTGAGATAGTAACCAATTACGATTCCAATGAACACTGTTAACAATTTAACGTCTGGTCGCATTTCTACTTATTTTATCGCACAGGCCGGTTATAGAAACCGTTATTAAAAATGATCTTAATCAACTTCAAAAAGAATTAAAAAATCCAATTGGCAACTAGCCTGCTAAGTGTGGCAGCTATGGAAAATATCCCCCCACTTATCGTCTAATATTGTTCATGGAGGAAGATCAGTTAGTTGATTTAGCTATTTTTTCTATATATAAAGCTGGAATGTCATTTATTTTAGACGCTATTAATTTTATTACAACTGTTGTTAATATGCGAATTAATCACATATAATTTAATCAAATACCTCTTTTTGTACGAGCAGTAGGAATTACTGCTTTGCCTTTATTATTATCCTTACCCGTTTTAGCAGGTGGTATTAGTATACTTCTAATAGATCTAAATATTAATACTTCATTATTTAATCCAGCAGGAGGTGGCAATTCCATCTTATAACAACATCCCCCTATGTGGAAATCTATGGCATATGTTTAGCAATTGAGTTTTAGTAGGTAATATATAAATAGAAATAAATGAAAACATGCCTTTTCAAATTGCATATTCCTGTTTGCTTGGAGCTTGCAATAAACCTCAAATATCACGCTGTGCCGATAACAAATTTTGGCAACTACTAGTAACCGCAGTAGTCTAGAAACCTTAAATAAATCATAATACTAAATGGTGCCTTTTGATTTTAGCGTGTCCGTTTTTTGTCAGTGGTCAGTTGTAAGAATGTATTGTTGGATAACTATGAACATTTGTGTATATGTAGCTGTCAATAAAACTGGAAATAAAATTTGAGTAAATTAAACTAATTTTACGTATTTTAACCCGTTTCATTTTAACTTTTTAATTCCAGACTTTTGGGGGGGGGGGACTGAAGCGTTTGACGTCCCGTTAATTTAACCCGGCTACCTTCAACTTTTGCGACGACGAGCTTATCCTCACAAGAAAACACCAATTCTCACCAAGGATGATTCGCGAGTTTCAATGGAGAATATGGATGGGTGCTACCATCTGCTTGGGATCCTTTAATTATTAATTTAAATCCAAACCTAACATACTATGTTGCTATTATGATTTTTTTTTAATTTATTTTATGTACACACATTAAGATACAGAAGCAGTCTTATAGTAATTTCGTACAAAGGTTCTACTTATTCCAAATTAGCTGAAATATCTTCCAGTAGACCCATAAAGGAAATTGTATTGAAATTGCAAACTTAGTGCATACATTAGTACTACTAAAAAATAAATAATATACACAATGTTACGTAAATTATATAAAATAAAACAATAAATAAAAATAATAATAAATACGATAGTTACATATGATATATATATTTATAACTAAAACTAATATAATAGAATAATATATATAAATTAACAGAATGCAAAGTAGTTTTGATCTCTAAGACGTTTCTTGAATACCAAAAAAGTTTCGGAATTTCTTATATTTGACGGTAGTGAAAGAGGAGTGGGAGTAACACCGGAATTATAGACGGGAAAGTCAAGAAGAGTTTTAACAAGGAATCTGCATGGTTTGTCCGGAGGATGGGTGAAGGAAAATCGGCTTCTGAGGTATGTGGGAGAGGAAGGGTTGTGCATAATGTTATAGAGGAGACAAAACAATCGAGTGTTCCTTCGAAGTCGAATTGGGAGCCACTTGAGTTGCTTACGAAAATGATAATCGGTCAAATTTCTTGAGCCAAAATATAAAACGGATACACTGATTTTGCAAGCGCTCAAGTTTATTAAGAAGCTCCTCTGTAGCATCCAAATAACAGGCATCCGCATAATCAAGGAGAGGTAGGATAAGAGTAAGCACGAGTGATATTTTAGCTTTAAGGGGTAAGAAATTTTGTAGACATTTAAGCGAATGCAAAGTAAAGTAGACCTTGCGACTAACCTCAGCGATAAGCGTGGTCCATGTTAAATGGTGATCAAATATGACGCCTAAGTTTTTGACAGTATTGGAAAAGGGTAAAGGAACGCCATTAAAACAAACAAAAGGTAGTGATGTAAATTCTATCTTTCTGCCTATTATGATGGCCTGAGATTTCGTGGGATTAACTAATAGTCCGAAGGATGCAGACCATTCACCAGATGCGGCTCAGATCCGTATTCATGGCTGCAATTGCATTATTTGTATCACCCACCGGAAAATGACGTTAAAGCTGTAAGTCATCCGCGTAGAGATGGTAATTAGATGTAATAACACTCATAATAGAGTTAATAAATATGGAAAATAAAAGGGGGAAAGAACGCCACCCTGAAGTACACCCGTAGTAATACCAGACCAATCAGAAAGAGTGTCATTAAAACGGACACAATGTGATCGACCACGAAGATATGAATCAAACCATGCGATGGCAGATGGGGAAATGTTTATAGATTCCAGGATCCGGAGAAGAATATCCAAGTCTACTGAGGTAAAAGCACTACTAAAGTCAAGCAAAACTAAAAGTGTAAGAGATTTATTGTCCATGGCCCAACGGATATCCTCGGTTACTTTAAGTGAAGCAGTGACAGTGCTGTGTCCACGACGAAAGCCCGACTGTTAAGTGGAGAGCAAGGAGTTAGACGATAAGAAGAGAGAGAGTTGACTATGGATGATGTGTTCCAGAACTTTAGAAAGAAAGGGTAAAATAGATATGGGACGAAAGTGGGACTAAGAAGGATTAGAAACCTTAGGCAGAGGAATTATATATGCTTGTTTCCAAACTGAAGGAAAAGATGAGGACGATACAGAAAAATTAAATATGTGAGTAAGAATTGGTAGAAGTAAAGGTAGAACTGGCAAAATCATCTTCGCGAATAGACCATCAATACCAACAGCATTTGAAGAGATGGCTAGGATGGATTTTTTGACATCTTCCTCCGTTACAAGGGAAAGATGAAAAGGGCAAACGTGCGGTTTCGTATACCCGCCAATGCGATTAGTGTGTTGGATTTGATGTAAGGATCTAAAGTCATAGGAGGAGTAGCAAAGTGATTGTTTAGCTCCTTTACTTTAACGTCATTGTATTCTAGGATCGGAGACCTGCCCACACCAACAGAACGAAGGAACTTCCACATTTCAGTAGAATTTGTATTATGGAAAGAGTTGTAAAATTAGCGTCTTTTAGCATACCGACATAAATGACTGCAGCGGTTGCGTAAAAATTTAAAACGATTTAAGTTATTTTCAGATGGGAGACGTTTAAACCTTTGCTTAACTTTGTCCCTCTGGCCCATAAGTTCTTTTATATCTTGTGTAATCCATGGTGCAGGATTACGCTTTATTTTGTGTGTTTATGTTACTATTGAATTGTATGTGTCGTATGTGAAAATTCTTTAGAGTTAAATTGTAAATAAAAAGAATAAAGCGTAACGAATTATATGTAATTTATAAAGAAAGAAATAAACAAGGAAAGAAAGAAACGCTTTATTTTGGCTTCAATGCTTGACGTGTTCGAAACAACAACATACAAATATAAAAACTGTATAGTATATGGAACACAAATATATAGTCCCAACATGATGTGTATTCAGATTTTTTCATTCAGATTCAGACCAAA